GCCCCCGTAAAATACCTACTTACAGGCGTGTGACGTTTTCGGAGCTTTTCGAACCTTCTGCACTGCCGCCGCAGCAGCATCGCCAACTCCTTCCGTCATCTGAATAATAAAATATGCTCGATGAGTGATCGTATTGTAGGTTTGGATAGTTTTACAGGAAATGCCACGGAACTTTCGGTTTCTTTACCGAGTTAAAGATAAAAAATGATCTTCGTTCTTATTTATCGTGGTAAATCCGTGAAAATCGTGTAATGTTACGCAGCTGAAAGCTATTTTATCCCCCGTTTAAGCGGAATATTCCGATCTCGTCTACGACGATACACGTCACGCGAATTCCCTTATAGACACACGCGTGGTAATATGTGATGATCGATTCGACGGGATAAAAAGCGGAATCAACGAAGGATCAACGAGCATCTCACCTCAAAGACGTGTCCCTTCGCTTAAAACGATCCCTGTCAACCGACTTACTACGTTCACCCTCCTCGTTCGCGAATATTTTATCCGGGATGTATCGTCTTTGAAACGTTCCACGAATAACCGTGTATCGTATCGTATCGTAACGAGGTAGAAGAGAGGAGAAAAATAGTAACGATCTGAAACGCGTTTACGACACAAGAATATCCAGGAAATTTTATCGGGAAAGTCGTTACCCTAACGATCCAGCAATTTCCATGAAATTGCTTATTAAATTACTAACTTTTTCACGATGATTTAGAACGTCGGCCAGGCCATTTGTCTCCGTGCATTGTACCGCCTCGCACCTCTGCTCTTAATAAAACCGACCCCGTGTTAGGTTTTGCCGAGCAAACTTTTCGGGGGTTTTCGAATTTTCTGTCGCGAGACCATCGGAGCTTACACCAGATTGCGAATATATTTGAACGGTTTCGTGGAAAATTTCGCACGATCGATTCCGAATGAAAATGGTGGACGCGTTCTGGCCGACAGGCGTGCAGCCGTCGCACGGTAATAATAATAGGCAAAATATTCGACGGGTTGTTCCTCGTATGCGTGGATGTGAGCACGATTCCGTGGGATGTCGAGTGGCAACATGTGGTTCGACGAACGCAATCTGCCACTGACATTTCGAATTAAACTCTCCAAGGATTGCACTGACTTTCCCGAAGGAAACGAGGAAGAATAACGAAAGGAACTCCACTTGTTTCCTCGATAGATTTTCAAATGAAAACATGTAGCTTGCGATACATGGTAGTGGTATTTAAATGAACGGTATTACAAGGCAGGAGGCAACGAGCAGAGGCCGCAAAAAGTGGAAAAGGGTTCTTGTAGTCGTAGCTTTCCAGCTTCGGCTAAGCCGATATGCATTCATTATAATAAGAAATGGAAGACGGCGAGTGAAAAGTTTGAACGCGCCCTGGCTTATCAACTTCCTCTGAATTTTCTATTATTTAAGAGAACTCTCGTTC